ATCAGTCTTCACATATGCAACAACTATATATTCTTTTAAATAATTTTTTGTATATATATATATATATATATATATATATATATATATATATATATATATATATATATGTATAGATTTGAAATTTTTAATGATATTCATTTAAGAAATATCTCCAAAATTACTGTAGCTGCAATATATTATCTTAAAAGTCATTGCAAAACTATAATTACATCGTACCCAATTTGTAATTATTAATATGTTATTAATATGTAATTATTAATATTTGTAATTATTTATATGGAAAAAAATAATGGTTCGCAAGAATCGAGGATTTTATATATAAAAAAGTATATCTCTTGTCATAGTTTTGTAATATAGTTTTGTGTATCTTGTATAGCGTAAAGTCACAACTTCAAATATTTCTCGATTCTCGACGATAACAATATCGGTTTCGCAATAACGCTTTATGGGAGATAATTCAAATACATGAATGTCTCATGGCCGATAAGACACGCAAAAAAAATAAATATAAAAAATAACTCTAAATCTTTCTGATTAATGACCAACGTTCTTTAGTTAATAAACAAAAGTCTACGTGCTCATTCGAGACTATGTATGTGAGAGAGGGAGAGAGAGTGTATATATGTGTATATGCAGCAAGGCGTGGGGAAATTGCGTCGACATGACGATGTTGAGCGTCGCGGCATGGAAAATGGAAAAATAGTGTGATCCGGCATTCATGGCGTCGGCTAAACGAGTGGTCTCCGTTGTCGGGAGGAAACATCCTCCTCTTTGTTAACGCGAGAGCGTAGGTGGCGGGTATTATTCTCTCGTTGTATCGATCATCATTTATCGCGCGCGGGCGAACATTCTCGGCGTTTTTGCCCCCGTTACCTTCAGAATATCGCAAAGGTTAGTCTAACGCGAGAGAAATACTTGATGAAGAAGCGTAACAGAGAGAAAAATTATTTATGCTTATGTTATGTGTGTGTAGAATAAAAATTTATTTCACAGAAATAAACTGTACATCCTATATAGAAAAAACAATTCTGTTAATGCAACCGAATTTTCGGTTGCTCAGAGATCAGACGAAAACTCGGCAGGAACAGAAAAATTCCTTTATGAAGCTTCTGTATAGTCAATTATTCTCAGTTGCCTCAACCAAGTTCTAATATCATTGAATGTTCAGACGAATATTTTCGGCTGCGACAACGGAAATATTAGTTTTCATAACAGAGATATCGCTTCTGATCACCTAATTTTCAGTTGGTTCCTATTTGGTAGAAATTTTTTTTGCGTGTATACACTCATCCTAATAAATTTTCAAATATCTTTTTTTTTTCAATGTGTGGTCGGAAAATCTTACTTAAACGGAATCGGGGGAAAGTCACACGCACAAACGTCGGTACTATTATGAAAGAGTGACTTTGTGGAATACAGGATGCCGCGATCGATTGGGCCAGAGACCACAGGGTTCATCACAAGTACAGCGAGACCGACGCTGATCCGCATAACGCCAAGAGAGGTTTCTTCTTCTCGCATGTGGGTTGGCTCCTATGCAGGAAGCATCCGGAGGTCAAGGAGAAGGGCAAGAGAATCGACTTGAGCGACCTTGAGAGCGATCCTATATTGGCGTTCCAGAAAAAGTACGTGTCGCAATGTTGATCAAAAAGGAGAGAAAAGGAGGACAGGATGTTGCTTGGTCGAGAGAGTCTCTGCAGAATAGAACGAATCTTTTATTTTCAGATATTACATCTTGTTGATGCCTCTGCTGTGTTTCATCCTGCCTACCGTGATTCCAGTCGTGTGCTGGAACGAGACCTGGACGAACGCTTTCTTTATACCCACCGTGCTCCGCTACGTTTTCACGTTGAACATGACGTGGCTGGTGAACTCGGCGGCTCATATCTTCGGCAACAAACCTTACGACAAGTTAGTAGAATTAGATAGCTTGCGTGCGAAAGCGCTCATCACTTGACCTTTTAGTCACAGTCGACCGGATGTCGTCAATCTATTCTTTTCAGAATCTTGGCACATAGAAATGTAAGGGATAAGACTTGAGTAGTAAGCGAATCGATCAAATACAGCCGAGAATTTCAACATAGTAGTCTTACGTTCTCGCATGCAATTAATAATTTCGTTTCTCTTTTCTTCGATTCCTCATCGCATTGAGAGGCTTCTTGCATCCTTTATCTTCGAAAGTGTAAGATGGCAATATTTTCATTGAAATTCTGTTGTCTACTTCCTCATCTCGTGTAGATACATCAATCCTTCGGAGAACAAAGGCGTCTCTATAATGGCGCTCGGCGAAGGCTGGCATAATTATCACCACGTTTTCCCGTGGGACTACAAGACGGCCGAGTTCGGCAACTACAGGTACAACTTCACGACCGCGTTCATCGACATGTTCGCGAAGATCGGCTGGGCGTACGACCTGAAGAGTGTCTCCGAGGACATGGTGAGGAAGCGGGTAGAGAGAACAGGCGACGGTAGCCACGAGCTGTGGGGTTGGGGCGACAAGGATCAGTCGCAAGAGGAGAAGAACCAGGCAGTGGTGACGCACAGTTACGCGAAGGATCAGTAGAGCGTGCGTCGCGCGTGCGAGACTCTCAGGTAGAATGTAAACGCTTTTCATCGCATTCGCCCACAATAATCGATAACAAGGACCATAGGTTTGTACAGATTTCAAGATGTTCTTCTTGCGAAAAAGAAAAAAAGAAAGATAAGTAACTGAGAGAGATAGAATACTCGACCGAACCGGTCTTCCGGGATCGTTGACGTATCGTGTCGCGCGATTATTTGGCGGGTTTCACATATATCGGACTCTGAAGGGTTCGGAGAATATCGACGGTGGGTATTGCGGTCTCCTCTGATAATAGCTTCGACGGTATTCTGTCTCGAGATAATTTTCTTACAAGCTCGGTCGACAGTTGGAAACACGAGCCGTCATGATTCTCGCGCTGCGTCACGCAGTTATCCGGACACTTTGTATTGTTCGTACGATTTTTTAATACGTAATTATTTAACGAACATACAGTCAGATAACTAAATGTTACGGCACTTTTCCTCAATGAGTTCAACTCAAAATCTCGTATCTAGGAAAATGTGTCTCTTGAGAATATTATCACCAGATAAATTCTTCTATTAGATACGAGACGCGGAACTCAACGGGAAACAGTATTGTAGCCTTATTCAGCTGACTGTACGTATCGTTGTGTACGTATAATTGAGATATACTGATCTAATGAATTTGGAAATCAGTTTTGCACCTTTGCGTAAGGTGCGGAGATCTATCGCTACTCTTGCTATCAAAATGAGCAGGATATTTGCGATCAGTAATTAGTATAGTATAGTTTGAACTTGAATGGAATTTATAAAAGCCATAGGTGGTCGTCAACGAAATTAATAAAAAAAGAATATGTACATGTACATATGGAAACAATGAAGATCGTTTAACCCTAGAACATCACACTTGGATACACACCTATGCTACCCTTATAGAAATATCATACTAAGAATCATTGATAATTACTTATTTTATTAAAAATACTGGATAATAAGTAATTATCAATGATTCTTAGTATGATATTTCTATAAGGGTACTATTGGAATCTCTACTACTTCCATATAATGAAAAGTGGAAAGTCGGAATTGAAAAGGAAAAAAGACTTCTGTCTTCCCTCTTGTTTCCTTCTTCCTTTTTTATTCATTCTTATAATTCCAAACGGATTAATCTTATAAAAAATTAATAATTGTCCATGTTGTGTAGTCTCATCTGCTGTTTAGCAGATGTAGGAGACGCCGTTGAGATCAATCTTGACATTAAAATTCTTCATGTTAAAACCATATATTTTTTTGTAATTATTGTTCCGCATTTTCTTCTGGAAAGTTATATCCTTTATCTTTGACAAGTAGTAGATTGGTTTTATACAATACAATGTTACAAAAAGCTATAAATTAAAAGCAGATAATCTTCTTGTGATTAAAGAAACTTCTATTCGGTCTTTTTATAAATTAATACTTTTTAAAGTAAAATCTCGATCATAATTAATGATACAGGCGTATTTCTGACATTTTGACGTTCAAATTAAAAAAATTTTATTTAAAGTATTTATTACTTTTCAAGAAAATATTGATAGTTGAAAGTAACTGAGTACACATTCTCAGTGTGATAAAATCGGGACTCGAAGGAAGTGTGATGTTCCAAGGTTAATGTAAATAAGGTGATTTTCGGTAATTTGTCTTTACACGAGTTCTCTCAAAATATTTCGTTTTATTGGATACTTAATCGGCTAAATTTTACTAATTACAGTTAGATTTTAACTGATTTCATATCAAATTTTCTCTTTTCCTCGTCGAAATAAATGATTTCTCCTCGACATGTAAACGTTTCCTAACGTTGATCGTGATAAGATACGTACTTTTTCGATTAGAGCTAACTTCGAACAATATCAACCGGAATAACAACGAAGCAAATTGACACAAACGCGAGCATCAGCTATTTCTTCTTTCTCGTCTCTCTACTATAACCTATACCCGCATTATAGGCGCAAGAAAATCTTTTGACTCGATTTGTGATGTGTATTAGCCAAAATCGATTATAAGAAGTTAGTAAAGAATTCCTGTGTTTATCTCGCACACCTGTAGTATCAAGCGAGTTACGTGATTGTATACTTTCGCTATTAGTTTTCATTTTTCCGTATTTAATGTAGTAAGTTAGTTCTTCTAGATATCGATTAATCCGACATAATATATTTATACGAGAAATAATTATGCGAGAGAAAAATGAGAGGAGAATAATTAATAGACATTATGATGTTATTGTGCTTATGTTTAGCAAACTAATATCAAGACCAATGTAATTTTCTCATAGCTGAGTTTATCTTAAACAGCACAAGATCTCCAAGTAATGTCCTGGGAACGTTCTCAAAGCGTCTTTAGAGAGAATGTCCTGTCCCAGACAGCACAAAATCTTCAGAGAATGTTCTGAGACATTCCTAGAATATATAAATGTCCTTAGAACATCCTTAGAACATTCTTTGAAGATTTGTGCTGTATAGGGTGGAGATCTGTGCTGTTTGGGACGCGACAACCGCATTTTTCGTTACTTTTATTACGTTCGCGTTACACTACCATGTCTTGCGCCTATGAGGAAATACGTTTCTAATCGCTTATGTTTTCATTCCGCCGCGAGACTGTGACAAGCGTAGTGCATTTTGCGATTCTGCGAAAACGCGACGTCCATCGACGTGATCAATCAGATCGAACGTTGCTTCGCCAAACATACCGTCACGGAGAGTTTCTGTACGAAATGCTAGTGATCGCGGCGCACAAGAAATGTGACGCGCATCTTGATCCCAAAAGGATCGCACGAGGTTACTCATGACGTAGCAATGTAATTCTGAGGACTCTTGGGAGACGAGCGATTGGTCTCGACGCGCTTTCTTGAAAAGTAAGTCTTAAAATTAAAAAGCAAAATGCTCTTTACAATTTTGTACATCCGAAAGATGTCCGACCATGATACGCGTTCTCGCTAATTGACATTACATTCGGTTTGGTCACAGTGATACTGGTTTAACATGATATTTTTGGTTATTTGAGTAACAATGATATTATTATTAGTTGTAGTAGAATTCTTGGCTCGACAGGGGAATTGTCGAGATACGCCGAGAACACAAACCAATACGTTCCTTCGATTGATAATTATTATCAACATATATGTTATTATTATATTGTCAGATGTAAGAGGTCGCCTGATTGGCTGCAGTAGTGTATTATACAATAAATTGTCATATGAGCGATTAAAATAAAACGTTTAATAAAAGTATATTTTTAAGTAAAGAGATATTACAAATCCCGCGTCTTTTTATTCGATATCTGCACCTCGCTTCGATACGAACGTATCGCACTGGGTTAAGGTAAAAATGTTAATTCCTGGACGCCAAATTTAATCCTGGTCACTTCTTTCTTTTTTGGTCTTTAAATATAAATGTTTAAATATTTAACATAAAATGCAATATATGTATATATTCAATATACGTGTACCTGAAACTTGTCTCATATGAGATACTCAGATATGATATTAGAGTTCAGTTAAATATGAGTAGTTTTTTTAGTAACATGCGTACTCGGTGCAATGTTAGCGTAACGTTAGCTGTTCCCTCCTTATACAGGGTGAGTACGAAGTCCAGGACCGGTGAAATATCTCAAAAACTAAATATTTCCAAAAAAAATGTTTCCTACAAAAGTTGTAGAGTTTTAAATGAACTATTCACCGATCTGGTCAATGTAACCTTGGGTGACATCGCCAAGATCAAGTCAAGATCAACTTTGCTTTTTTAAATAGAAACATATATTTTTTTATATATTATTTTATTCTACATAAAGAAACAAACAACTTTTCTTTGAAAACTTTATTCATACGATCAAAATTTTTTAAGATATTTGCGGAAATATCTACAAAATTATTGGTTTCAATAATTTATTACTCGAATTCTATCAACTTTACCGAAAAATGGTAGAAGATAAAATTTTTTATTTTTGTCTCATAAAGCTCTGACAATTTTTTTCAGAATTTTTTTATTAACATTTTAGTATTTCAAGAAACTGTAAGAAAATGCAGTAACCTGCAATAACATGACCGACTTTCGGCCAGTGATAGAACCTTTGACTCCCGAGCAGCACGCATCAGCACGGGAGGGCATACGCACACACTCACGCAACCGTGTCCGTGAAGTTTCTATCACTTTTGGCCCCTGCGCAGGATAGGTACTACTGTGCATGCGTGAGAATCCGAATATAATGCTACGATGGATCTAACGTTATGGGCGCGACTTTGGGATATTGGCAAATTATTTTCAAGATTCTGGGCTACTGAGAGAGTAGAGTGACGCTAACACACATTGTCATTCAGGAGATGATGCAAAGCAAAATACGCACGTCTTTCCGAAATTGAACTTTCGCAACCGCAAAAATTACTTAAAAAGACTGTGAAAAAATACCTTAGAATGTGTTCTACATGCTAACACTATATAATCTAATCTGCAGTAACATAACCGACTTTCGATCCACGCGCAGAATGGGTACCACTGTGCATGCATGAAAATCCGAATTAACTACGAATATAGCTACGAAGTAGCTAACGTAACTATAACTAACGTTATGGGTGTGACTTTGGGATATTTGCAAATTATTTTCAAGATTCTGGGAGGGATTCTGGGAAGGGTGCTACTGAGGGAATAGAATGACACTAACACATTGTCATTCAGGAGACGATGCAGAGCTAAATACGTACACTTGACGTCTTTTTCGAAACTGAACTATTGCAACTGCGAAAATTACTTTAAAAGAATGTAAAACATTATTCCAGAATGTGCTCTAGATGCTACCACTACGTGATCTAAATAACCTTTTTTTTTTTTGTTAAGGCAGAGGAAATGCATTACGCACACCCTCGGGAGGTCGGAAACCCTCCGAGGATAGTGTGGAACTCTCCCCCTTCCAACGGGGAAGGAGCCTACCCACTAAAACTTCTGCCGTATCCTCAGTGCCCAATCCTCGGTGGTATGTGTGAGGCGCCCCGGAAAACCGCTATCGCATTCCGTCCGGGCAGCCCCGCCGCCGTCCCTTCTTCGTGACAGTGAGTGGGAGCATCATCACCCCCGCCAAAGGGCAGATCCTGGATCATCCCGCCCAGGACCCGCCTCCTCCTAAACTCGGAGAGAAAAGGGGGGAAATACACATCCCCTCTATCCCTCTCACCCTCCCGCCTCTCCCAGTAACAACTACGGCCCATCCCCTCTGGTAAGATCGTATCCCCCCTTCAGAAACATGGCCTCACAGTACTTTTACGAGTATCGGGGCCTCACTTATACAGTCTTCCGACCCTGATTCCTTCCTACGTTCTCTTTTCCTTTCTACCATCTCCTTCCTTCTCATTACGACTTCCGCAAATCTAATGGCCGCATCCAAACACCGGCGCTCTTGCAGAATCGCCGGCAGGAAATCCGCGACTTGCACTATTGATACCTCCTCCATTTCCTCTCTAGCTTTGTTCCAGGCTGGGCACACCAGCGTATGAATAACGTCATCGACCAGGGCCGAGCAATGGAGACAGGACGGACTGTTTGCCTTGTTGATGCAAACCGTCCAGGTGCCGAATGAACCATGCCCCGTTAGAGTTTGTGTTAGACAAAAGCTTAGTCTCCCCCTATGCTTCCTTTTCAGCCACTCCTTAAAGTATGGCAAGATCGCTTGTTTCAGCTCTATATTAGGAGCCTCCTTTTGCTGCAGGTGCATCACCCACTGACATATCAGCAACATCTCCGCCGACGATCTGATGTCCTTAAAGATTTCCACGGTCAATTCGCCCCTTCTAGCCAAAGCACTACTGTGGTAGTACAACCGTGTGTACATACCCACAAGGAGGAACAATGGCGGAGCTTTAGTCAAAATTGACGCGGCTTTATACGATAGGGTTCTATATCCCCTTGTCACTCTAATAGCCATCACTCTTTGGGCTCTATCCATTTTAGCCCAACTCCTCTTTCTGTTGGTAAAAGTCTCCCCCCACATTGGATATGCATAGAGGAAGACAGAATGTATTACACCAAGGTATAATTACCGACGCAGCTCTCCAGGCCCCCCCTTGTTTCTCATAATTGCCCAAAGGGCCCTAACCACCCTGTTAACCTTTTCCTCCATATATACCGCATGTGGGCAGAATGTTAAGCCTGTGTCGAACATTATGTCCAGATACTTCATAGACCGCTTGATTTCTATTATTTCCGATCCAACCATTATACTCCCCAACTCTCTAGCTCTTGCCTTACCAGTCAGCAGTAGTATTTCCGTTTTGCTAGCTGATATCTCCAGTCCTAACTCCTTTATCTTTTCTACTACCAGGTCTATGTTCCTTTGCAGTCTTTGCTTAACTATCATCATAGTCCTTCCTCTGGATAAGATTATTGTATCATCAGCATACCCAATAATCTTTCCCCCATCAGCCAAGTTCACCCGCAAAACATCATCAAAAGCCAGGTTCCACAAAGTGGATTCCAAGACTGATCCTTGGGGGAGCCCAGCCGTGATCTGCCGCCTGTGCCAGGTACCATCACTACCTTTGTACACTATGTACCGATTGGCAAGATAATCTCCTACTATATCAATAAGGTATCGCAAGAAACCTTTCTTGTGCAGTTGGCCCATGATAGTGGGCCACGGCACCGAGTTAAACGCATTGGTGATGTCTATTCCAATGGCAACAGCGTATTCATCATTGCGGGATATCTCCTCCTTGTAAGACTTCACCTCTAAAGCCGCATCGATGGTGGAGCGGCGTTCCCTAAAGCCAAACTGGTAGGGGCTAAGTTCTCTCTCCTCCGCCTGCATTTCCCGCTTCAGTTTAGCCAGCATCACCCTTTCCAGGGCTTTACTGATGTCCGTGAGCAAGCATGTGGGCCTGTACTTGGCGGGCCTGCCGTTCTCGCTGGGCTTAGGGTATAAACACCAGGCGGGCTATTTTCCAGCTAGAAGGGAATTATACCGAAAGAAGGCATTCCGCAAAGACACCTGCCACACGATTCAAGAACTCCAGGAGAGCCTTACGCCAAACTGCGCCCGGTATCCCGTCCAAAATACCTCACTGACCTAAATAACCTAAATAATCTGCAATAACATGACCGATTTTCGGTCCATGTGCGAGAGTCTGACGTTCCTACGATGCTACGGTTAATCCAACATTATGAACGCAGCTTTGGGCTATTGGAAAATTATTTTCAAGATTCTGGGCGTATTACTGAAAGAGTAGAGTGATATTAAGGCATATTGTCATCCAAGAGACGATGCTGAACGAAACACGCATACTTCGCAAACTTCGTCATTTTCGAAAATACAACTTTGCAAACGCGAAAATTTTTTTAAGAAACTTTAAAATATTATCCCAAGCTTAACTAACTCGACTTAATATGTTAGCGAAGACTCAAAAACCTTCGGTTAGTTATTATCGCTGATTAAAGACGAGATAAAGAAATCGTAACGGCACGCCTGAGTTGCTTTTCTATACGTAATAGCAATAATTAAATAATAACCGAATAAATTAAATAAGATTTGGAAGAAAGAAGTAATAATATACTCGAAAATTAAATGGTAGTGATAATAATATCTACTTGACAATCGTGTGATAATATCGTGTAAGGGAATAATAACGAAATACCCTTTGTCCACAACCTTGTTTTAATTCTTAAGAAATTGACCAACCACTATTGATTATTTTTAAAATAATCGACTGTGGTTGGTCAATTTATTACGGCTTAAGAATTAAAGCAAGGTTGTGGACACAGGGTATTTCGTTATTATCTCACGGATATTATTACACGATTGTTAGTAGATATTATTATCACTATCATTTAATTTTTCGAGTATATTATTACTTCTTTATTCCAGATCTTATTTAATTTATTTGGTTATTATTTAAGTATTGCTATTACGTATAGAAAAACAACTCGGAGGTGCCGTTACGATTTCTTATTATATTCACCCTATTATATTGATATTATCACTACCATTTAAGCAAGGAGATAGTTGATCGAATAATCGGTAATAACAATACCTGGATAATGGCTCTAACAAAAACTCTAAGCTCCACAAAGGCTAGGTAAACCGACCGTCGTAACGGCCGTTCGGGTTGTTGACTGTGCGGCGCTGGGGCGGGGCGCTGGGACGGGGCGCTGGGACGGGGCGCTGGGGTGGGGCGCTGGGACGGGTGAGGGGAAGGCGCGGCCAGCCGCGCGTCACGCCATAACGCTCTCAGTCGTCGAAGCGAGAGCATCGCGGGAGTTGTCGCGT